CCTCCCCACCTATATATAAGAAAATTAACTTGGAGAAGCCAACCATTATCAGTCAGGTATGGATGTTTAATTAACATTTGTAATACATATACAGATCATTAGATCAGCAAGACAAAGTTGAAGCAACAGCAATGTCACCAGCACCATTGTGATGATGTGCAAATCACCAGAAAACACTGTAAATTATGAAAGCAGATGTGGAGCTGGCATCTGTAATCCCAGCAGGTGGAGATAGGAGGACTGGGTTTCCAAAGTTATCCCCAGCTACACACTGAGGGCAACCTGAGCTACAAAAAAAAAAAAAAAAAAAAAAAAACTGTCTCAAAAACAAATTTTTTTAATTGTACACACCAAGAAAGAATGTGAGTACCCTCAAGAGAAACTGTGTTTCTTTTGCCTTTATTTTTCAGTTAAAAAAATATACCTCCCATATAGCCCAACAATTGCATTTCTGGATACTTATTGTAAAGAAATAAAAAATTAAGTTGCATTCACACAAAAATTCAAACACAAAAGGATCCCTGGGACTTGCTGGCCAGCCTGTCTAGCTGAATCAGTGGTTTGAATCAGTTCAATGAGGAACCCTGTCTCAAAAACTAAGGTGGAGAGAGACTGAGGAAGACAATGCCAAATCTCACACACATATGTGCATACACACACACACACATCAATATGTACACACACATTAAAAAAAACTTGGACACAGATATTCACAGTTGTTTTATTCATAATAGCCCCAAAACTGGGAGGAAAAAACAGGAATCCTTCAACAAATACTGATACATCTAAACCAAGATTTATGAGGTTTTTGTTTGTTTGTTTGTTTGTTTGTTTAGAGACAGGGTTTCTCTATGTAACCTTGGTTGTCCTGGAACTCACCCTGTAGACCAGGCTGGCCTTGAACTCACAGAGATTCACCTGCTTCTGCCTCACAAGTGCTGGGACTAAAGGTGTGCGCCACTACCGCCTGGATCTCAATCACTTTTCTGTGTTTGATTTTGAGACAGTCTCACTAAACTCTCAAGCAAGCCTGGAACTTATCATCCCCTAGTTCAGCCTTCTGATTAACTGTGAGTGCAGGCCTACATCACTAGGCCCCATTTGTATAACATTATTGAAAGGAAAAAGGGAAATACGTTAGCGCCTGCTGGAGAGTTCTGATGAGTTGACAGTGTTGGAAGCTGACACACCTGCTCCTCTAATTGCTCTCTCCCAAGTCTCCAAACAAAGCTTTATTCTTATTTAGCCCTCTACATTGCCAGCTTAGATACTATAACTTGGAGACTAGACAGAGACTGAAGGAATCCTGATAGTAACAAAAATGACTTGTATCAATATCAATATTCAGTCTGTAAGAAAGTACTAGGATTTTTCAGGATGTGCTCACTGGGGAAAACTAGGGAAAGAGCCACACACAATGGATGGATGGATGGATGGATGGATGGATGGATGGATGGATGGATGGATGGATATCAGTCTTCCACCACTGCCTGGCTTATTTATTTGAGGCAGGTTTTTTTTTTTGGTTTTTTTTTGTTTGTTTGTTTGTTTGTTTTTTTGGTTTTTACTCGACAGGGTTTCTCTGTATTGTTTTGGAGGCTATCGGTCCAGCCCGGCCTCGAACTCACAGAGATCTGCCTGCCTCTGCCTCCTGAGTGCTGGGATTAAAGGTGTGAGCCACCACCGCCCGGCGAGACAGGGTTTTATTTACTATGTTTCTAATAAAGCTGTTATTCTGAAATGTCTGGCAGTGGAAATTCTTGAGCACAACTAGTCAAATCATGGATGTTTAAGAGTTGTGACTTGGGCACATACAAAATTCACCCATTGTTACATCTGTTCAGTTTCGAAACACAAACTAAGCTCAACTCTTTTGCACTCAATTCTTTAACTGCCATACTGCCAGAAACTTTTAACTACCATACTGAATAACAGCAAAAAAAAAAAAAAAAGCAAAAACACCAAAACCTTTTTTGTACAACTGAAGGTAAACATGCAATGGTGCCAAAATAATTTAATTTTTTAAAGTAACATTTATTCCTGGTAACAAGTTTTTTTAAATACACTACTTTTCTTCCTCCTAACTTTTATCAATCCTATATTCCTAAAGCCATAATGACTCATAGGACATGCAGCATGCATTCACCAAAGTTTTGGAGTTTTGTAATAAAATGTGATCATACATACCATCTATTACCCTTCAATCTATCTTTTATTTTTCAAACACTAAATCATAGAAAGGAAAAATATATGAATCTTTTCTAAGCACCAAGCAAGATGGCAGGTACAGGACACTTCCTGCCTGGAAAAAAACTGGCAGATGTTTACCATACTAATGTAGACAGTTGAGTGAGTCATTCTGCCAGAGTGAAAGACAGAACACAGGGGAAGAAATACACATTATATTTTAGGAGAAAATTGCAAGATGGGTCTGGTATGGTGGTATGCACCTATAATCCTAGCACTCAGGAAACAAAGGAGGGGGGATTCCTGCAAGATCAAGACCAACTTGGGATACAGAGTTCCAGATCACCCTGAACTACACAGTGTGACCCTGTCTCAAAAAAAAAAACAAAAAACAAAAAACAATGGACTGGAGAAATAGCCCAGTGATTGTTCTTCCAAAGGATTAGGGTTTGAGTCCCAGGACCCATGTGGCAGCTAACAACAGTTTGTAACTAGTTCCAAGAGATCTAGTGCCCTCTTTTGTCCTGTCTGGGCATGACACACATGTGGTGTATACACACACACACACACACACACACACACACACAGGAAAAATGTCCATTCATGTCAAATAATAAAAACTAAAAACAAAAAAAAAACACCACCATACTACACATGGTGTCTTACACCTTTAATCCCAACACTCAGAAGACAGAGGCAAGTGATTCTCTATGAGTTCAAGGCCAGCCTGGTCTACATACTGAGTTCCAGGCCAGCCAAGCCTACATAGTGAAACCCTGTCTCAACAAACCAAACAAATGTGTTGAGTATAGTGGTGCATGCATTCAATCCCAGAACTTCTGATTCCTAGCACTCATGAGACAGAAGCAGGAGGCTCTCCAGGCCAGACTGGTCTACATAAAGAGTTCCAGGCCAGCCAGGGCTACATAGTGAGGCTCTGTCCTATAATTAAAAAAGAAGGAATGGAGAGATGGCTCAGAGGTTAAGAGCACTGACTGTTCTTCCAAAGGTCCTGCGTGCAATTCCCAGAAACCACATGGTGGCCCAAAACCATCTGTAGTGAGATCTGGCACCCCCTTCTGGACTGCAGGCATATATGCAGACAGAACACTACATAATAAATTTAAAACCAAAAAAATAATAATTAAAAAAAAGAAAAAATGGTGCTTTACATACTCCATCTCTGTAAATCTCCTCCCAACCCATCCCTAATTTACAGGCTCAATGTGAAATCACTCGCCTATGATCACGCAGTCAATAAACGTTCAAGTTGAAGTTCAAAACTGCAAAATCAGTTTTCTTCCTTTCTCAGGTCTTTGTTCCCATTTAATCACAGAAGATATTTTAACAAATATTGTTCAGCACAAGCCTATATACATAGGCTTAAGTAGAGAGACACATATAAGCTGACTTTGACTGAACTTACTTTTATTTATCATATTTTTGGAGGACTTCATTGCTATGTAGGAAGATGACAGGGAACAAAGAATTGAAAACAAAGAGTTTTCAGTGTAGGGAAGAGACCACAGCTATGTACACTGAAACTTTTAACTGCCATACTGAACAACAGCAACTTCCCTTAAGGAAGTACAAAGTGCTGTGGTTTGAAGATTCCTGCCACTTTCCCCAGAGCAAAAAGACAATCTCTAACATTAGCTTCCTTCTAACTGGCCTGGTTTCAATTCTGTAAGCAGTTTCAATTTCCCTTCTTGATCCCTATATGAACCACTAAACTTGACAACCTCAATTAGGTGAACAAGCCTACAGGCTCGTGTCAGCAGAAAGCTCCGGCTCCAAAACAATGCTGTCATTCTGGGATGTCTGGCAATGGAAATTGGTCAAATCATGGATGTGTAAGAGTTGTGTGAGACTTGGGCACTCACAAAAATCACCCATTGTTATAAGTATTCAGCTGTGAAACACAGACTAAGCTCTTTTAACTCTTTATATGGGGTTCCTTTGCACTGCTGATACTTTAAGTCCAATAATGACAAGCAGAATGACATTCAAGTTTGCTCACTTCATCAATAGTAAGTGTTCTCACGAACAAACAATCATAACGACTTTGGGCCTCTTTTCTTCTGTTTTTGTTTTTGTTTTGTCACAGTCGTTTGTCTTTATAATGCTAGGGATTAAAACCAGATGTGTGTTTAGACAAGCATTCTACCACTGAGCAACCTCCCCAAAGCACACAGCAGTTTAAAGATTAACTTCATTAAAAACATGCTAAGCCGCCAGGCTGTGGTGGCGCACGCCTTTAATCCCAGCACTCGGGAGGCAGAGCAGGCGGATCTCTGTGAGTTCGAGGCTAGGCTGGACTGACAGCCTCCAAAACAATACAGAGAAACCCTGTCTCATAAAAACCAAAAAAAAAAAAAAAAAAAAAAAGTTGTCATTAAGTGCCAGGTGAGGTGAAACACATCTTTAATCCCAGCACTCAGGAGACAGAAGCAAATGAATCTCTGTTCCAGGTCAACTTGGTTCGCAAAGCAAGCTATAGGCCATCCAAAGCCACATAGTGAATGAGAATGAGATCCTCCTTCTCTCTCTCTCTCTCTCTCTCTCTCTCTCTCTCTCTCTCTCTCTCTCTCTCTCTCTCTCTCTCTCTCTCTCTCTCACACACACACACACACACACACACACACACACACACACACACACAAAGTTATTAATGGCTAGTGAGATAACTCAAAAGTGTTGCTATAGAGACCTGACAACCAGAGCTTGACTCCCAGAACACACAGTGGAAGGAGAGAAGTCATTATAAAAAGTTGTTCTCTTACCTTCACACATTCATCGTTGACAGACCACATATGCATACATACACACATTAAATACATAAATGTAAAATGCACTAGGATGCAAAAGAAAATAATCTCTGTACTTTCCATCTTTGTGGCTGCCCACACTGAATTGGGGAGTACATAAAAATAAATAATGGAGCTAGCGAGATATTCAGCTGGTAAAGGTACCCCGCCACCAAGCCTGACGACCCGAGTTTGAATCCTGAAACTAACATGGTGGAAGGAAAGATATGACCTCAGAAAGTTGGCCTCAGGCTTTGACTTGTGTGTTGTGGTTTGCAAGCCATCAACCTACCTTCATACACACATATAAACAGATTTAATTAACACGTAAAATAAGATGAAGTAAATAAGTAAAAGCTGCCATCAGAGCATCACCAACATTTCTGTAACAGCTGTTATCTTGTGTGTGTGGGGGGGGGGTGCTCTGACTTAGAAGCCTTCTGTATCATTTCAGACCTCTACAACCACTCTTGACTGGTGGGTACTGTTGGGCAGCTGAGATTAAAGGCAGTGATGGTGCACACCTTTAATATCACCACTAGGGAGGCAGAGACAGGTGGATCTCTGAGTTTAAGGCCAGACTAGTATCTAGAGTGAGCTCCAGAACAGCCAGGGCTACACAGAGAAATACCATCTCGAGACACATAGGTGGGTGCTGTCATTCATTGTCCATCTGTGGCCTCTGTGTCTGGAAAAGTATTCCCATACTCAGGAGTAGCCTAGAATTCAAAATCAGTGTTCATACTCTTTTGCTACAAGAGTTTATTCCCTAAGAACAGACCTATGACTATGGCTTCAAGTCACCTCAAACTTGAATATAACCCAGATATGTTTCCAATCTTTAGGGTGAAATTTAGCCTGGTAATTGTGTTATTTCACAATCTTTTCAATATCTGGTTGGAGAAAGCGAAGTCTTTTTTTTCCAAATGAAGTTTTCTTTATACAGAACAGGTTGAACAGTGTGAGAGTCAAAGCTCTTCCTAATTCTGAGATGTCCCAGGAATGGTCCAAAACTAGTATAAGACGGGAGCTCTGCTTCCCCATTGCAGTTCCACCACTAACCAGCTGTGCTCTGAGATTTGTTCTGTTTTGAAGATAGGGTCTCACTATGTAGCTCTGGCTGCCCTTGAACTTGCTATGTAGATAGACCAGGCTAGCCTCAAACACACAGAGCTCCACCTACCTCTGCCTCCTGGGTATTAGAATTAAAAGTGCACACCACCACACCCTGCCTGTGTTCTAATTTCACAAGAAACCACATTTTACTTTATCATATTGTTTACAAAAGAGATACCACCATTTTATAGATCTGTGACCAGTACTACATGGAAGAAAAATATATAAGGTCTAAGCAACATGGTAAATATTGATAATCACAGAACTCAGAAAGCTGATGCAGAAAGATCCCAAACTAGAGGCAATCCCAGGCTTTATCTCAAGATCCTTTCTCAAATATTAACTTTTGTCTATTACTAATAATGTATTTTTGTTTCTACACACATAGCTATAGGCCCATATAATTTTTTTCAGATAGTCTCCTTTGAACTCCTGGTTCCCCCTGCCTTCATCTCCAGATTATAGGCAATGCCACCTAACTGGTTTATACAGTGCTTGGGGATCAAACCCAAGTCTTCCAGTAAGCTAGAGAATCACTCTATTAACTGAGCTACACTGGCAGACCCCTCAACTAATTGTATGCAGAGACCAAATGGAACACTAAGTATCTTCTCCCATGCTCTATACCTTCTTTCTTTCTTTCTTTTTGTGGGACAGTGTCTCACAGAACACAGAACCCTTCAATTAGGCTGACTGGGTGACCAATAAGCTTCAAAAGTCCATGTGTCTCTGCTCCTACAAGATGGGGTTACAGAAAGAAGAGTGGCACCTTTCTTTTACATGAGTGCAAGAAACCCAAACTCCAGGTGGTGGTAGTGCATGCCTTTAATTCCAGAACTCAGGAGTCAAAGGCAGGCAGATCTTTTCTCTGTGAGATCAAAGCCAGCCTGGTCTACAGAGCAAGTTCCAGGACAGCCAGGACTATTAGAGAAACCCTGTCTCAAAAAACCAAAAAGAAAAACAAACAAACAAACAAACAAACAAACAAACAAACCCAAACTCAAGTCATCACACTTGCAAGGCAGGCACTTAACTAACTGAGCCACCTCACCAACCCCTCCAGCAATTTTTACAACAAAGAGATTCTCTAACCCAAGTAAGCCTGAGGAATAAGTTCATTGTCTCAGCACTTGATAGAGGAAACTTCCAAATAACACACTGTATGGAAGCTGTTGGTGATGGCTTTGATCTCTGTTGTTAAGGAATAATAATAATTCACATATAGCAGAAAAATAGTCTCCTTTGATAAGGGAAAGCTAGCAAGGTAGCTCAATGGGCAAAGGCACCTGCCACCTGATGACCTGAGTTCCAACCCCAAAATACATATGATAGAAGAATAGACTTTTGAAAGTTGTCCTCCACAAGTTCAACATGGCTCTCATACAGAACCCATCCCACCCCCATTATCATAAAAGGAAAAAAATTTAAGGATGAATGTTCATGGTTCATCAAGGATATAGGAGAAAAGATTCAGAATACCAATACTGTATTTCACCAGGCTTCTTAACCAATACTTATATACTCTCTCTTTCTTTCCTTCCTTCCTGTCTTTCCTCTCTTCTTCCTTCCCTTCCTCCCTCCTCCCCCCCCCAAATACAGGGTTTCAAATAGTCCAGGCTAGCCTCCAACACACCATGCAGGCAAGCTGGCCTTTAAATTCCTGGTCCTCCTGCCTCCATCTCCAAACTATATGTATTACAGACATGCCCAACCACCCCGGCTCAATTCACCTACTCTCTAGAGTGTGTGTGAATGGGGATAAGGAGGGTACATGTGAATGTGAAGACCAATGTCAGGTGTTTTTCTAACAGCTCTTCATTTTGGCTTTTTAAAGATTTATTTTTATGTGTATAATTTTTGGTTTTTGTTTTTTCGAGACATAGTCTCTCTGTAGCCTTGGAACCTGTCCTGGAACTCACTATGTAGACCAAACTGGCCTTGAGCTCACAGAGATCTGTCTGTCTCTGCCTCCTGAGTGCTGAGATTAAAGCTGTGCGCTGCCACCCAGCATGTATAAATGTTTTACTGTAAGTGTGTGCACAACATGTATGCCTGGTGCTCAAAGAGGTCAGAAGAGGGCATCAGATACCCTGGAACTGGAAATACAGGTGGCTGTGAGCTGAATGCAGGTGCTGGGAACCAAACTCAGGTCCTCTGCATTTTAGTTCTTGAGACAAGGCCTCTCAGAGAACCCTTGGTGTCCCAACTTGGCTTCACTGGCTGGCCAGCAAGCTCCAGGGATCGTCCATTCTCCCCATGCCCCAACCCACCCCAATGGCACAGGCCACTACATCTAGCTTTCACATATGAGTACTAAGAATCTGGGTACTCGTGCTTGTGCAGCAATTACTTCACCAGAAGAGTCATCTCCACAGCTCCAGTTCATGCACTCTCTGTTGATTATTTCTTTGAGAAAAAAAAGTGAAAATATACTCATTAAAGATGCCAGGTGAGAACCGGGCGTTGGTGGCGCACGCCTTTAATCCCAGCACTCAGCAGGCAGAGGCAGGCGGATCTCTGTGAGTTCGAGGCCAGCCTGGTCTACAAGAGCTAGTTCCAGGACAGCCTCCAAAGCCACAGAGAAACCCTGTCTTGAAAAACCAAAAAAGATGCCAGGTGAAACCCTGTCTTGAAAAACAAAAAAAAAAAACAAAAAAAAAAAACAAAAAAAAAAGATGCCAGGTGAAACCCTGTCTTGAAAAACAAACAAAAACAAAAAACAAACAAAGATGCCAGGTGAGCCAGGCGTGGTGGCACACGCCTTTAATCCCAGCACTCAGCAGGCAGAGGCAGGCGGATCTCTGTGAGTTCGAGGCCAGCCTGGTCTACAAGAGCTAGTTCCAGGACAGCCTCCAAAGCCACAGAGAAACCCTGTCTTGAAAAACCAAAAAAGATGCCAGGTGAAACCCTGTCTTGAAAAACAAAAAAAAAAAAAACAAAAAAAAACAAAAAAAAAGATGCCAGGTGAAACCCTGTCTTGAAAAACAAACAAAAACAAAAAACAAACAAAGATGCCAGGTGAGCCAGGCGTGGTGGCACACGCCTTTAATCCCAGCACTCAGGAGGCAGAGGCAGAGGCAGGCAGATCTCTGTGAGTTCGAGGCCAGCCTGGTCTACAGAGTGAGTTCCAGGACAGCTTCCAAAGCCACAGAGAAACCCTGTCTCAAATAAACCAAAGGGGAAAAAAAAAAAAAACAAGACGCCAGGTGGTAGTGGCACTCAGGAGGCAGAGGCAGGCAATCTCTGAGTTCCAGGCCAGCCTGGTCTACACAGTGAGTTCCAAGACAGCCAGGGCTACACAGAGAAACCCTGTCTCAAGAAACCAAAAATAAATTATTAATAATAATAGTAATAATTAAAATTAAATTTAAAACATAATAAAAATACTGTTTTGGTTAACTATTAAGCAGTTCTGCCCTGAGGTCACTAGGGATCTCGGAATGCCAACTTCACCATCTCCCTCATTTTTAAGTGAGTCTGTACCTACATCATTCTGAAAAGGTGATTATTAAATTTTAAGGGATAATATTTCAAAATCACCCTTGGCAATTGTCCAGTATCCTGTTGTCAGGAACTTCTAACATATAATCCATATCCCTTCTGTTGCCAATTAAAATATATTTCCTCTTGTCCTGTTCTCTATGGAAAGAGAACATCTGCTTAATACCACTTGAACAATATCCCTTCAAGAGACTATAAACTATAGAAAGTCCATTTCATACAGCTTCGTGTAAATGCAATATAGCTTTATATGGGTCACCTTACACAAAGAACATGATTAAGAGTCTTATATCCCTAATTCTATCACTGACTGACTCAAAGATGACAGGAAATGAAAACCACACAGATGCTGTGCTTCAATTATCCCATCAGTAAAATGCAAATAGTTAAAACCAGATTGCTAGAAGAACCTAGTTCCTCAAAAAGCAATATATGCAAGAGAATCTAGTGGAAGCAGGAAGATTCAAAGTAATCCTCTACAGAAAATCCAAGGCCAGCCTGGGC